GGTTCGGTCCTGTCCCCCCTCCTATTTAAATCTACATGAAGCCGCTGGGTGAGATCATACGCCGGCACGGGATTAAATACCATCAATATGCGGATGATACGCAGTTGTATCTGTCCGCCCCGTGCCAACTCAGTGAAGCGGTAGAAGTGATGTGCCAGTGCCTGGAGGCTGTCAGGGTCTGGATGGGTATGAACAAGCTTGCACTCAATCCCGACAAGACCGAGTGGCTATTGATGTTCCCTCCAAAGCTCCCAACAATCACGTGGCTCACAGCTGATCTGTACGATCATCGGAAGCTTCCCCCCCACTTTCAAAGCATTTTTCCCTACCTGTTTGCCTGAACCAGCAGGAAAAAAAATGCTTTAAAAAATGGGGAGTAGATTGGATGGATGGTATATATAGCATTTCCCCCCCTACCTATTCGCCTGAACTGGCAGGAAAAAAAATGCTTTAAAAAGTGGAAAAAAGTTAGCTATGCCCACCTGGTCACATGATCCCAACAAGCCACACCCACAGAACCGGTGGCAACAAAAAAAAAAGGTAGATTTCACCACTGCTTTAACCTAAATAAAACAGGTTTTATCGGGACAAGGAGTGTGCTTCCTGCTTTTGGGAAGCCTAGGTCAGATCTGCCGTAAGTCCCTTTTCGTAACTTTGAATGGTTGCTAAATGAACTGCCGTCATTTTGAGGCCCACCTACGCAGCTTCCCAACCGCCCGCCATGCTCAACCGAACGGAATCACCTCTGATACTCTTCCAGCGGGGTGCCTTCCTTCATCGCAGGGTAAAAGGGCACGGCGTAAGGGCACTTTTTATGTAAGTGAGCCAAGGTGAGAGTGCCCACCTTGGGGTGAAGCTCCCAGATGCCAGACGCCACCACAGCAATGGGGAATGCCGCTTCGTGGTGAGAGGCCACCTCTTCTTCGCCTTGTTTCTGAGGAGGAAAAAAAATCCCATATAGATCTTTGGGTCTGCGCTCAGTGCGCCAAAGAAAAAGAGAAGTTCACCATCGCTCTCACTAAACATGGGTTCAACGTCATTCTTAAATCCTGCCTTATAGGCAACGGTTTGTGCCCCTGCCTGCATGCAAATTATAATGTCAAGCTTCTTTTCCTCCCCCCCCCTCCGCCCCCAGTCTGAATTATTCAGATTTCCTTCCCTTGGTTTAATCAATTATTTATTGAGCCGTGCAGGCACAGTGGTTAGAATGCAGTATTTGCAGGCGGGCCCTGCCCACTGTCAGCAGTTCGATCCTGACCGGCTCAAGGTGGACTCGGCCTTCCATCCTTCCAAGGTCAGTAAAATGAGGACCCAGATTGTTGGAGGCAAGAGGCTGACTCTGTAAAACCGCTTAGAGAGCACTAAAGCATTGTGAAGCTGCATGTAAGACTGTGCTCTGCCTGCCTGTCTGCCATGGTGGTTACAATGCAGTGTTACAGACAAACACTGCCCACTGCCAGCAGTTCGATCCTGACTGGGTCAAAGTTGACTCAACCTTCCATCCTTCTGAGGTCAGTAAAATGAAAATCCAGATTGTTGGGGGGCAATATTCTGACTCTGTAAACTGCTCAGAGAAGGCTGAAAAGCACTGTGAAGCAGTATATAAGTCTCAGTGCTCTGGCTGTTTCTACCCCCCTGCCCTATCTATCTATCTATCTATCTATCTATCTATCTATCTATCTATCTATCTATCTATCTATCTATCTATCTATCTTCTATCTAACATCCATGGTGGCACAGTGATTAAAATGCAGCTAACTGTGCCCACCGCCAGCAGTTCAATCCTGACCGGCTCAAGGTTGACTCGGCCTTCCATCCTTCCAAAGTCAGTAAAATGAGGAGCCAGATGATTGGGGGGCAAGAAGCTGACTCTGTAAACTGCTTAGAGAGAGCAGTGAAGCACTGTGAAGTGGTATATAAGTCTAACTGGTATTGCTATTTTTAAAGCAGTTTAAAAGAAGCCCCTGAGTTACATGACAATTTTTAAAACACCACCTGTATAATGACAGGTTTTTGATCTGGAGAAGGGAAGTGGGGGAGACTTTTTACCGATATGACCTTCTTACCACAAACTTTTCAGCCAATTTGAAATAAACAAACTCCAGGCCTTCGGGGTGCTGCGTGACGGATATTCTATGACCCCCGCAGTGCACGTATTTCCCTGAGAGGAGGCTGTTGATCTTCTCAAAGATCTCCTTCAGTTGGGAACCTGTGAAGACCAGCAGAAGAAAAAAGATACCCATGAGGAAAGCAACTGGCGCACGAAGCCACATTTTTATGCATTCGAAATAAGTGACGTTATGATATCCAAAGCAAGCAGTGGGGTGAAGAACGTGTGTTTTGGTGTTATATCTGACCTATATTCATCAAGGTCAGACAGGCGTACTCTTACCATTTTCTTGCCTATTTTAATTTTTATATCTGGCCTAACTTTTTAGTTAGGTTTTTGGTAGGTTGGGTTATAGTTGTTCTGATCGAATCTCCCCAAGAGCCTGAAGCAAACTCCTTGTCCCGACAAAAAAAAAAAAAAACACCTTTATTAATTTACTGTGAATTCTGCTCATTCACCTCCAGCAAAGTCTTCCAAGGGAGGATTTACAGTCACAGACCTTATCTGGCTTGGAGAGCTGCCAGGCCATATCTGCAAAACTTGGCCAGGAGTCTCGGAGAGTCACGAACCAATGAAGCGAACTAATGGTCTCCTGCAAACTCCACTCCCCTTTCGCTCCTCTTTTNCAGAGTTAACTTTTTTTAACATTTTCTAATGGTGGTGTGCCTCGTGATTTTTTTCATGAAAAAAGTGTGCCTTTGCACAAAAAAGGTTGAAAAACACTGGGCTAGAGGGCAGTATTGCAGGCTACTTCTGCCAACTGCTGACTGCCTGCAATTTGGCAGTTCAAATCTGACCAGGCTCAAGGTTGAGTCAGCCTTCCATCCTTCCGAGGTGGGTAAAATGAGGACCCAGATTATTGGGGGGGGGGGGCAAGATGCCGACTCTGTAAACCGCTTAGAGGGCTGTAAACAAACTGTGAAGCGGGATAGAAGATTTGTCTGTCTGCCTGTCTATCTCAGTGTTTCTCAACCTTGGCGACTTTAAGTCCTGTGGACTTCAACTCCCAGAATCCCCCAGCCAGGCTAGGGAATTCTGGGAGTTGAAGTCCACAGGACTTAGTCACCAAGATTGAGAAACACTAATCAATCAATCAGTCAATCAATCAATCAATCTATCTATCGTAATGGTGCAGTGGTTAGAATGCTGTATTGCAGACTAACTCTGCTGACTGCCAGCAGTTCGATTCTCACCAGGCTCAAGGTTGACTCAGCCTGCCGTCCTTCCTAGGAGGGTAAAATGAGGATCCAGATTTTTGGAGGGATAAGGTGCTGACTCTGTAAACCGCTTAGAAACGCTGTAAAAGCACTGTGAAGCAGCATATAAGACTAAGTGCTATTTCTGTCAGTCTATCATTATCTATCATCTATCAATCTATCATCTATCAATCTGTCATCTATCAATCGATCGATCTATCATCTACCAATCGTCTATCTATCATCTATCTAGCATTTATCTATAATCTATCATCTATTGTCTATCTATCATCTATCTATCATCTATCATTTTTCTATCATCTATCAATCTATCGTCTATTTATCATCTATCTCTGCTGAAATGGTGCAGTGGTTAGAATGCTGCATTGTACACTAACTCTGCTGACTGCCAGCAGTTCAATTTTCACCAGGCTTAAGGCTGACTCAGTCTTCCATCCTTCCGAGGTGGGTAAAATGAGGACCCAGATTGTTTGAGGGATAAGATACTGACTCTGCTTAGAGAGGACTGTAAAGCACTGTGAAGTGGTACATCTAAGTGCTATTTCTACCTTCCTTCCTTCCCTCCCTCCTTCCTTCCTGTTAGAATCCAGTATTGCAGGGTAATTCTGCCAGTTGCCAGGAGTTCTATCCTGACTGATTCAAGGTTGACTCAGCCTTCCATCCTTCCGAGGTGGGTAAAATAAGGACCCAAATTGTTGGGGGGCAACATGTTGACTCTCTAAACTGCTTAGAAAGGGCTGGAAAACACTGGAAATCAGTATATAGGTCTACATTCTATTGCTATAATGGTCTAAAACAGGGGTTCTCACTTAGTGGCAGTTCAAAGCTGCCATGGCACTGGAAAAAAAGGAGATTTACGACCACTGTTCACATCTACAACCCTTGTGGCTGCGTGATTTCCATTTGGATGCTTGACAATGGACTCATATTTACTGACAGTTTGCCGTGTCCTGGGAGATGGGGTGCCCATTGGTGACCTTCTGACGGATGAAGTCAAGGGGGAAACCAAATTTACTTAACGACGGCGTTACTAATTTAACAACCGCAGTGATTTGCTGAACAAAGGGGGCAAGGAAAGTCGTGAAATGGAGCAAATCTTTCATGTAGCAACATAGATTTTGGGCTCCATTGGGATTGTACATTGAAGAGGTCTACCTATATTAAGACTGCATTATGACTTCCATCTCGAAAGTAAACTAGCAAAAGTCCTTTAAAAATAACCTGAGATTAGAAACTCCGAGTCTTTACTTTGAAAACAACCGTGCGTATACATTAAAATAAATTACTCGATGAGGTCGTTAAAATAAAGCTCATTTGAGCTTTCATGACATCTAAGGCAGCTCCCTTCCCAAGGTTTATTGTCTTTATTGTTGTAAAAATGATCTCTGTAGCAAAATAAGACACAAAAGCTCAACATTTCACATTTGATTGAGCTGACACAATCGCTCTGTCGACTTGCAAATCTCCCACTGCCAGCAAACTGGCTTACGCCATGTGAAATATATATATATACATATACATATATATATATATATGTGTGTGTGTGTGTCTGTGTTATGAGAAACACTTTTGCTGTTTCGCTTAGCACCAGATGCATAAAAATATAAGTTCCTCTTCGTTTTCCACGGATTGCAAATAGCAGATTCCACAGTTCATATATTGTCTTGGATCCGAGAGAGAAAAGCATGGCTCCAAGACTGATTTTAAACTATTTCCTTTGATTTCATGAAAATTAAACAGCCATCCAAGCAAGATCTTCGCCTTTTCCCATTCAATGGTTCTATTTTGAACGGGGTTGGGGGGGGGGAATCTTACTTAAATAAATGCAAAGCTCTCTAAAACCTTTAAAAAAAAGAAGAATGAACGCCACAAATCAATTCATGTTCTTTCAGTATTGCTTGGATGAACTCCACTCGGCTTGCTTTTTAAAATTAAAGGCAATCAACCGAGGCTTTTGCTGCAAAGCACTGCAGCGTTTTAATTAAGAATTAATCTCTCTTCCAAATTCAATCGCAGTGCTTCAGACACTGACTGGGGTTTTTTTCGTGGGTGCGCGTCAAAAATTCCGATGTTAATAAAACAGAGGAGTCCCTCAAGGCCACTCCAACCAATTTGTTTCTCTTGTCTTAGGAGAACCGGGCATGACACAGCAGGAAAAAAACCAGAAAGGGCACACCCGTGTGCGACGAGGCGAGTGCAAATCACGGCGGAAAATCTTGGGAGAAAAGGTTGTTTTTTTTGACAATCGGATAAAAGCTGACGAGCCATTTCCGGATTCTGTCAAGAATCCAAATCTTTTCTGGTTTTGTTTTTGGAAAAATGTCTGCCTACGGATTTTTTTTTTAAGAACAAAAACAAAAGTAAACTAAAAACAAAGCGAGCTTTTCTTTCACCATCTGTTAAAAAAAAAGTGAAAAGGAATCCGAGCCTCACGATTTCCAAAAAGAGGATGGCAGGTATCCTTTGGGGAGAGGAATGGATTTTTGCTGTAAGCAATCCTGGGAGAGAAGAAAAGATTCTTTTAAAAGGAGGGAGGCGTTCGAACACAAGGGCGTAAACCCAAGAGCAATGCAAACACCACAATGCGGCAGTGAGGGTGCAAAGACCTATTTTGCGCTGCGTGGGATGGGGGAAGCGAGCCTAAGGGAGGTTTGACATTGATTCAGGGGATGGCCGGAGCAAACTGGATATCCTCAGTGTGCCTCGGGAAGGGATGAGAACGGAGAGAAGAGGAACAGAGGGCTGACCAAAAAATAGCACAGCAGAAATGAGGATGGAGACTAAGAAAGGCTCCACAGAGAAGGTGGTTGTTCATTTTGTGTGTGTGTGTGTGTGTGTGTGTGTGTGTGCGCGCGCGCGCAATGGTCGCTTCGGTCACATTCTTGATTTGAGGTGCTCTGTGAGATTGTGGTTTTCTCGCAGACGTTTCATTAGTCAAATTATTGGCCAATGATTGCTTATGATTGTTTCCTGATTATTTGTACTCTTAAGTCTATCATTAAGTGTTGTGCCTTATGATTCTTGACAAATGTATCTTGTCTTTTTATATTCAGAGAGCTTCTGCACCAAAGACAAATTCCTTGTGTGTCCAATCACACTTGGCCAATAAAGAATTCTATTCTATATCCATATCCTAATCCTAAACCCATCCTATCCTATCCTATATTCTATTCTATTCTATATTCCATTCCATTCTTTATTCAATTCCGTTCCGTTCCATTCCTTATTCTATCCTATATTCATAGCTAATCCTAAACCCATCCCATCCCTCCTGTCCTATCCTCTATTCTATTCTATATTCCATTCCATTCATTATTCTATTCTGTTCCATTCCTTATTCTATTCTATATTCATTTCCTAATCCTAAACCTATCCCATCCCATCCCTCCCATCTTATCCTATCCTCTATTCTATTCTATTCTATATTCAATTCCATTCTTTATTCTGTTCCGTTCCATTCCTTATTCTATTCTATTCTATATTCATATCCTAATCCTAAACCCATCCCATCTATCCTATCCTCTATTCTATTCTATATTCCATTCCATTCTTTATTCTATTCCATTCCATTCCTTCTTCTATTCTATATTCATTTCCTAATCCTAAACCTATCTTATCCCATCCCTCATATCCTATCCTATCTTCTATTCCATTCTATATTCCATTCCATTCTTTATTCTATTCCGTTCCGTTCCATTCCTTATTCTATCCTATTCTATATTCATAGCTAATTCTAAACCCATCCCATCCCATCCCTCCTATCCTATCCTCTATTCTATTCTATATTCCATTCCATTCTTCATTCTATTCTATTCCGTTCCGTTCCATTCCTTATTCTATTCTATTCTATATTCATATCTTAATCTTAAACCTATCCCATCCCATCCCATCCCATCCTCTATTCTATTCTATTCTGTTCCATTCCATTCCCTATTCTATTCTGTTGACATCATCAGTGCTAGAAGGGAGTGGCCTTTGGGGGAGGGAGGAGGAGGAGGAATAGATAAGGGGTCCTTGGTGGTCTCTGAGCTTGCTTGTTTTCTTGCAGATATTCCATTACCCAAGCTAGTTAACATCATCAGTACTAGAAGGGAGGGGAGGGGAGGGGAGGAGGGTGTGTGTGTGGTCAGTGGGGTTCTTGGTGTTCTCTGAGCTTGGTGGTTTTCTTGCAGACGTTTCATGACCCAACTAGGGAACATCATCAGTACTAGAAGGGAGGGGAGGGGAGGGGAGGAGGGTGTGTGTGTGGTCAGTGGGGTTCTTGGTGTTCTCTGAGCTTGGTTGTTTTCTTGCAGGTGTTGCATTATCCTAACCAGGTAACGTCATCAGAGCTGGACTTTCTTGAATGGCAAAGGAGCCTCATGTCAGCCAACAATACTCTCACAAAGAGGAAACTTTGCAAGTTGTGTCCTCTTGGGCTTCCTAACAGTTGGGGGACAGCAGAGAGCTTTGTGTGAATAAAAGGCTGAGGAACTGGGGGCAACCGAAAGGGGGATTTAAAAACAACCAGCCAAACTCAGCTGTCTTTGTCTTAACTTAACCCCTCACTGAGGGGTTGAGAGAACATCAACTTACTTTTAAAAATTGCTTGAATCGTATGAGGGAGCCCATTTCCCCAGGGCTGGTAATTGATTCGATCCTGGAGGGAAGAGAAGAGAGAATTAAAGTAGAAGAGATAAGAAGATAAGAACAGTTAAGTTTGAATTCAGATATTGGGTCTTTGTCGGTCCTATTTTGGCAGCTTGGCCAATCATCAGGACTGAGAAGAATAACAAAGAACTTTTGAGACACACAACTCATCCCAGGGGGGATTCTCTATAAATCTTGGTGGGTGGGTGTGGAGTGCTGGCTTTGCTGCTGTAAGTGGGTTGATTGGCTGTGTGGTTGCATTTTGATTGGTAGATGGAGTTGATGTTTGTAGATTGGTCGGCTGTTTCATATCATCCTGTTTGGCTGAGGCGCTGGCTGTGTGTCTGTTGTTTTTTTGTGTTGTAACAACTTGGGGGGCTCGTTTGTTGACTAGGGCTGGTTTCCAGATTCTGATAGGCGGGAGGTATCACACGTTTAGTCATGATGTGGGGGTGTTTTCTATTTTGATAGCTTCCATAATTATTCTCTTGTTGAAGTGTTCAATTTTGCAGAGTAATTTGGTTCCTTCAAAATCAATTTCATGTCCTGTTGCTTTAAGGTGCTGGAAAAGGGAGGAAGTTTTTTCTTCTTTTCTGACTGCGTTCTAGTGTTCTGCGATCGTTTNCTAAACCTAACCATCTCTGTCATCTATCTGCCTGTCTGTCTATCATCATCTATCCATCCATCCATCCATCTTATGGGGAGAAAATGACCCTTTTTCCAAACTGACCCTGTTCAAAAAGACTCTGCCAGGAATCTTAAAAGTGACTTTCCCGGAAAGCATGAGATCAGGGAAAGGAGACTTCAAAAGAGTAGTAACATTTAAGAAAAACCACCACTGTGGAGAGGATGATGGGAGATGTAACCCCACTCACAGCTGGAAGATGCCAAAAAAGCAGAGGAATTGATTGAATGTTTTACCTCCAGCAAGCTTTCCGGAATCCAAAGGCTGGGATTTTGCCAGATCCTCCTTCTGCAGTTCCTCTGTTTTTTTGGCCTCGGCTGCTGCCGCCTCAGCCATAGCCAACTTCTCCTCCTGCTTCTTCTTCTCTTCCAGGGCGAGAGCAATTTCTTGCTGCATGCCAGACAGCAGTTGGTGCATCTTGAGCAGGGCGTGATCAGCGGAAGCCACATCTGCCTCGGTGGGGAAAGCCTGTTTTTTTTTTTTAGGGGGGGGGGGGAAACCCCATCAAAAATCAGAAAACCAGTTGGGGGATATCAAACGATGCTTCGACGGAAACTCTCGGCATGATCTGCCAAGTTTCTGGAAGGATGCCGGCTGGATCTGCATTTCCAGATGCCCGAACTGATCCAATTCCTTTGAGTGCCGGCATTAATGAAAGGTTTATGAATCAGTTCTCATAGATTACTGTATTTTTCAGAATATAAAACGCACCGGAGTATAAGACGCACCAAGATTTTAAAAGGGTAATTTTTTTAAAAAAAAAAAAAGTTTTTGCACCCTGCAGGCCTCCCGAACCCACTGCACACCTCGCTTTTTGTAAAAAACGGGGCATGCAGAGAGTTTGAGAAGCCTGCAAAGTGCTCCTGGGGGAGGGAGGGCAAAAACGAGCAAAAAAAGGCCCATTTTTTGCCATAAAAAGGGCATGCATAGTCTTTAGGAGGCTTGTAGAGTGGTCCTGGAGGCTGGGGGGAACAAGTGGAAAACAGCCCGTTTTCTGCTCATCTTTGCCCTCCCCAGCCCCCAGGAGCACTCTGGAAGCCTCCTAAAAGCTATGCACAGCCATTTTTGCAAAGGGGGCGGGATTTCGGTAGACCAAAAAGGCTGTGTTCAGTGTATAAGACGCACCCAGATTTTCACCTTCTTTTGGGGAGGTAAAAGGTGCGTCTTCTACTCCAAAACAATATGGTAGGTAGATCAGGAGTGCTAGTGCTATTACCTCATTGGCCATCCGGACTAAGGCCGACACCTCTCCGCAGAGGTGATTGCCACGGGTGTTGTAGAGTGAGAAGTCGATGGCGGGCAGCTCTTTATGCCTGGCGTTGAGGCCAATCTGCTGGTGGATCTGCAAAACCTCCTCCTGGATGGCGTAGAGGCGGCGTAGGCGTTCTTGGCTCTCCTCCCGCCGCTGGCGCTCCAGGTCCTCCTGCCGTTGCCGCTGCTGCTCAGCCTCACGGAGCTTCCGGCTTAAAAGCTTTGGGAGGGAAGCAGGGAGTTTCCGTTGGGGAAATGGGGATATCAAACGCCAAGGCTTCCTCTCACCTGTGCCCAGGTAACGTTAAGCAGCACCAGGAACATTATGGAGGGCTCCTTGGTGCTCTCTGAACCTGGTTGCTTTCCTGGCAGACGTTTCATTACCAGACAAGGTAACATCATCAGTGCTAGGAGGAGTGGAGTTTGAGGAGGAGGAGGAAGACAACTGTGGGATTCTTAGAGCTCTCTGAACTTGGTTGTTCTTTTGCAGACATTTCATTACCCAACTAGACAACTTCCTCAGTGGTAGAAGGGAATGGGGATTGGGTGGAGGAGAAGGAGGGGGTAGCCACAGGTTCGATTCCCAAACATGGGTATGGCTAGCTGATGAGAGCTAAATAGCTTGAAATAGATCTATACTAGTCTCCCTTTATTTATTTATCAGCATAAATATAACAAATGTAACATAAATATAACATACATACATACATATATATATATATATGTGTGTGTGTGTGTGTGTGTGTGTGTGTGTGTGTGTG